GTATGCGAGAAAGACTGTTTATAGCTCTGAACTGTGCGCAGTGTCCTCCACCGTGTCCGATGTCATTTTGCTATATCCGCGAATTGTCCTTTTGATGAAGCTGATGAAAGAAGAGAATAATTCAATTTCTCTTACTTTTTTTTTAAGTTGGCTCACATGGTAGGTGGATGTGATATTGTTACACCTTTATTTAAAATTTTATTTTAAGAGAAATCTTTTGCTTCATAATGGGTGAATGTGCGGTGATATATATATATATATATTTTTCTTTATCATTATCTTATCCCTTCTGGCAAATCCATATTCGGAAACGAAGATTATGAAGTCTTTTCCTTCAACATTCAAATATTTTCTGTCCCATGAACGTCGTATCCGTCTTCTTCTATCTTTCCCTTTCCCTTCTTTTTTAAACATTTTCGCTCGCCATTCATCCCCCGAATCTGAACATTTTTGTCATGTCTCCTCGGGGCTTGACGGCAATGTTCCCAGACACGCCCTGATGCGCCGGATAAATAAACAGATGTGAAAGTAGAAGGGCTGGCGTACTTATCCCCGCTTTTTTCGCTCCTCTCGCTAATCTGTCGGGGAAGCGGGCCGGATGGTTTCCGAAGGAGGTTGGCGTGTGCCGAAGAGCAATATTTTTGGCTCGTATTTTAGGTTTGTCGGGGTTTTGTGCTTTGTGCAGCTGGGTGGAGCCGCCCTGATACCACGTGTGCGTGCGTCCGCACACACACAGATACTGTGAATATATGTATATATATTCATTTATTTATATATATATATATATATATATATATATATATATATATATATATATATACATACACACATATATGTGTGTGTGTGTGTGTGTGTTTGTGTATGTGTATGTGTATGTGTATGTGTATGTGTATGTGTATGTGTGTGTGTGTGTGTGTGTGTGTGTGTGTGTGTGTGTGTATATATGTGTATGTGTGTGTGTAAACACACACACACACACACACACACACACACACACACACACACACACACACACACACACACACACACACACACACACACACACATACACACACACACACACACACACACACACACACACACACACACACACACACACACACACACACACACACACACACACACACATATATATATATATATATATATATATATATATATATATATATATATATATATAATGTATATCAAGTTGCATTCTCCGTTTTCCGTCACTACTATAATATGATTTTCTACCAAAAAAAAAATAGAACTGTCACATGAATCTCTGCGCTTATATTATACACCATAAATATTGGGGGATCGAATGAAAATATACACAAAATAAGCTGTTTTTTTCAAGTCGAGTTTTTGCTTGGTTCGATATGGAAGGGAGGGAGGGAGGGAGAGAGGAGAGAAGAAGGAGGAGAGGGAGGGAGAGAGGAGAGAGAAAATGAGAGAGAGAGAGGGGGGAAGGAAGAGAGAGAGAAATAAAGAGAAAGAGACACAGACATCACTCGGAGAGGGAGAAAGAGACATGGACAAAGCCCGGCAGTCACGTTTGTCAACTTTCTTCCCCAATCAATAACAGTTACCCATAATTACAAGCAATATCCGAACTGTCTCCAAAGACGGATCCATTAAACCACAAAGGGATAAACGACCACCATGTTGCCCCGCTGACAGTGACAAACAGGCACCGTGCATTGTTCTTCCACTCCATTCCCTCCATTTAAAAAAGATAAATTTTACGCTCGTTGTCGGATGAAATTTTCGCGCGTCGGTCGACCCATCTTGCGACGCTGATGAAATTGGCGGGAATTATCAGTGGCGCTGCGAGTGATTCGGGAGAAAGCACCAAATCCCAGCCTGGTAGCGAGTGATTCTGACAATGAACGAATATTTCGCCCGGAAACACTGTAATGACCAGTCCGACCGCACGGCCAACCACACCGAGAAAGACTTTGGAAATTACGCTTTTTAAAAGGACCAAAACGAGCGAGGAAAAAAATATAAAAATCTATATAAGTCAAAAAGAAGAAGAAAAAATACATCTCGGTTACAAGTCGATCCAATGAAAGCATCCGGAAACAGCTGGGAATGTGCGAGACATCTTTCAAAACTTGGAAACGTTCGAAGGCGGGCTGGCGGCGGCTCCTCCCACCGCCATTGCCGCCGAGGCGTGCTTCGTATGTAGGTTAGAATCCTCCACCTGGTAACGTTCGTATGTTTGTATACATGTGTGTATCTGTATTTATGTGTATATAGGTATGTCCATGTGTCTACACACACATATATATATGTGTGTGTGTGTGTCCGTATGTATGTATGTGTATATATGAACACACATGTATATATGCATGTATGTATGTATGTAAGCAAGCAAGTATGGATGGTATGTATATATCCTTGTATAAATTTACGGATGTATGCCAATATGTAAATATGCACGAATGCGTCGTCAAAGTCACCGCTGAAATACGCAAAATTAACACATTATTAATCACAAAATTCAGGCAATCTTGTAATTGGGCGCCATGCGATTTTTCTATTGCTGGGGAATGGTTATGATGGGTCTTGGTGCAGTCGTCTGCCACAGACAGACAGACAAACAGACATGGATTTCGTGAGTCTTCATGAGGTTTGGCGTCCTTGGGTTATGGATTCTGGATATCATTGTTATCTGTTGTTATGTAGTCCTTTATGCCTATTTGCAAGAAGCCCCAGACAAAACGGCTGATTCCAGTTGGAACGATTCCCACCACTTGACTATGCTGCATATTTAACCTTCACCTTATTCGCACCTCGCCCCCCCCCTCCCTTGCACATTTGCCAGATCCGACAGAAATAGTGCAAAAACTGATACTTGGCAACCTTTTTTTTTTTCTTTAATAAGGTGCCTCCCGATTCAATTTTTTTTTTTTTTCATTTTTTCTTTAATACAGATTTACGAAATCCGTAATAGTTATGGGATGTGGTAAAAAAAAAAAAAAACGTGAGACGAGAATCGCAAGTAACTCATCTTTGAGCTAATAGGAATGATAAATAAATGCAGAAATGTCTGCTTCATGTCATGTCATATGTGTGAGGTTAAATTAAGAAATTTGCAGCGCTGCATTTTCATCTAGATCCAGTCTATCCTTATAATAGATACAAAAGGATCTGCAATAGGATATATGCTTATAAGATAATACCAGCTAGGAACTTAAGATGTGTTTATGTGTGTGTGGATAAGTAAATAGAAAGATAGACAGATAAACAGATAGATAGAGAAAATGAGAGTAACTAGGTAGGTAGATGTAGGTTAGTACTGATAACTGAGTTAATAGTTAAACAGTTACATACATAGATAAATAGATAGGAAGATACACACACGCGCGCTCGCGATAAGTAGATATTATGCTGCCGATCAGAGCATAAACAATTACCACAGGTAGTAAAGATATGCTGATTCACAACATGCAGGAAGTCACAACACAAGCGACCCGACATACACACAGGCAGTTAGTTTATTCAGAATCAAAATGAACTCATTAGCCACGCCCTTTTTATTTTATTTGAGACCAAGGAAAAACAACAACAATAACAACAAATACCTTAAAATAGAGTCACAGCAGATGCCTCTATGCTCTCAGGTGTGGCCAGTGTTTGAGAAGTGTCCCGCCCTCTATTTTCTACGTGTCTGTTACAAAAAGAAAGAGAGAAAATCCGTCCACGAGATTTTGAGCGATTTGTCAAAGAGAAATTTGTGCGAGGAAATAGATTTTGTGATTTTGTTTTTTTGAAGGAAAAGATTCTCGCCCGTCTCCTCTTTCTCTTTCTTATTCTTTCTTTTCTATTCTACTCTCTGCTTATTTGTTTCTTCGCTGTTTGTTTGTTTGTTTACAGTAGAAGGAGGAGGCCATGGGTCGGACTGCACATAGAGAAAGCAACTGACAGGTGTGTTTATACATGTGCATAAGGAGACAGGTATACGTGTCTATCTCTCTGTGCGTGCATACGAATAAGGATAATTGTGTGTATATGGGTAGATATATCTGTCTGTCTGTGTGTATGAGTATTTATGTGCGTGTAGACGCGCTCGCTCGCACACACACACACACAAACACACACACACACACACACACACACACACACACACACACACACACACACACACACACACACACACACACACACACACACACACACACACACACACACACACACACACACACACACACACACACATACATACACACACACACACACACACACACACACACACACACACACACACACACACACACACACACACACATATATATATATATATATATATATATATATATATATATATATTATATATATATATATATATATATATATATATATATATATATATATATATATATATATATATATATATATATATATATGAATATATATATATACATATATATATGCATATGAGTATGCATAATTGTGTGTTCCTATCCTTCAGGCGGTTCCTCCGCAGGGCAGCTGAACTTTACAGCGATTAAAACGCGAGATTGCTCTAACGGCGGAAGTGCCCCCCCCCATGCCTTCCAGCCTTCCTCACGGACGCGGCGGCCGAGTGGGCCTCATCACGATCTCTTTATTGGCCACAACGGCACCTGCAGCACTCTCTGCAGCGTGGGTCATGGCCTAGGCAGGGCAGGGAGGGCCGAGAGGCCCACGCCCCGTGCCCCGAGGGAACCATATATGCAAATGACCCCCTTCCTCGCTGGGGAAGATCTCGCGGCTGG